TTCCAAGATTCTCGCGTCCAGGCCGCCTATGAGCGCCAGCGCGATCTCAAGGCCACATACCAGGCTGTTGCTCAGGCTTTGAAGCCCGCCCTGCAAGAGCTGGCCGAGCGCAACATCGACGATCTTCTGCAGAATCCAGAGCGTCATGCAGAGGTCGAGGAACATTATCCCGTCATTCGCCAGCTCCAGGCGAATTACATCAACAGATTAGCTGAGCATGACAAGCGGCTTGAATGCGACCTCAACCTGGCAGAGTCCAACTACAACCATGAGCAATATGTCATCGAGCAGGAATTCAATGTATGTCACGTCACATGATTTTTTATTATCCTCTTTATCTGCTATTGAGATTTAGAAGAGACCATTTGCTGACCTTCTCACCTTCTCTTGATCTAGAATGGGGTCGAGGAACTTTTGGAGCAATTTTATGATGGCCAAGAGAATCGTCTTCGTATCCTTGCCGCTTTGCATAGCAAAGATTTACCTGTTGATGTAAGTCCCCCATTATTTCCATTTAAGCCTTCGCAGAGTTTTTGTCAAACCAAAATCTGCCGTCGCTTTAAAAAGGTTTGGTTAGCGTGAGCCCAATCTGACGCAACCAATTAGATCCGTGATGACCAGTATGAGTATATCACAATTACTGATGACCATTTCGACAATGAGTTCAATCTATATGAACCCATGAAGGACGGTCACCTCGTGCCCTACCCATCACGCGTCGAAGGGACGGAGATGTGGCAGAAAGCTCGCGATGCTGAGGCTGAGGCTGCCGCCGCCGTTGCCGCCGCCGCCGCCAGCTCTGCTTCCTCAGGTCTCTCCGCCGCGCCTACTAGAGGCAGAGGCCGAGGGCGAGGAGGTATCAAGCGAAGGCTCCTCGAGCAGCCAGATGGTGCCACAACTCCCAAGAGATCATCACGTCTCGCCGCAGACGATTCACAGCTCCTCACAAACATCCCCATTGCTCCCGCCAAGGGCCTCCTCGCTTCTGCTGCTGAGGTCGAGAAGGCTCCCGAGGGGACACCTGGCGAAGAAGAGTCTGCTTCAGGCACTCCTGAACCATCGGGTTTCTTCTCTGCTATGCAGGCTAGACAGCAAGGCAGGCTTGGCACTCGAGAGAAGAGCCCACCGCTGCCGAAGCATGTCGCCGAACCAGATGAGCATGGTGTTCGCGTATACAACCAGCGACCCTCTGTGCGAGACAAGATCCTCAACAGCCGCATCATCGCCCCTCAAAGCGTCATATTTGATGATCTTGATATTGGGTTTCGTGATAGCTCCAATGATTCATCCAAGGGTCATACACGCGCCAAGCGTGGAAAGTATCTGGACACTCCAAACAGTAATGGGTTTCACATTGATCACTGGTGTAACGCCTTCGACTACTCTTCCCTCACTCCTAAGGATTTTGACGCAGAGCTCGTGAAGCGACATCGGGTACATCCAAAATACGGAATCTTCCTCCCTGACAGCTGTAACGAGAATCCGGGTACAAAGCCGTATAACATGCCTGGGAAGCCAATCGTTTTCATCGCGAACCCCTCTGGTCGTATCTCGCATGCATCTCGGTCTTTCCAAAAGACGGTTAACTACCATCGCTCCGTTGATGCTCCTTGGCGACAAAAGGTGAACGCTTCCGTCAGGAGGTTCTGTAAGATCGACCAAATTGATACGGAAGAAGTGTCTATCAGCGAGTATATACCCACAGATGAGGAGCTACGTGCAAAGTCGCTGGGGACGGCCGAGAAAGAGCTCGAAATCAGACTCAGCTCATTAGAGGACACCCCGATGCAGGAAGACGACCAAGTCGAATACGAGGAACAGGCTTCAGAGCAGCCAGAAGCCGAACGCCCAGACTTGTCCTCATTGACCAACGCTGCTGCCTTTATAGAGGCAGAAGAGGCAGCGGAGGCAGCAGAGGCAGCAGAGGCAGCAGAGGCAGCAGAGGCCGCAGAGGCCGCAGCACGAGCCACACCAGCACCTCCCAAGCCTGCTAAGTATGACGCAGTACGTGATTTGTTTGTTGCTGAGTCGGAGCCTGCTCCCGTTGCGACTACACCTAAGCCTGAGCAAGCCAAGCTTAACTTGCTGGCTGACCTCTGCTCCAACTCTCGCAATGCAATTGTTTCGGTGGAGCATGATATCATGGGACCAAACAGTTCTGCTCCTACGCAGAGCTACCTTCCTCCGGTTGAGATGCAGCCCCCCGTCTCTAGTGAGAGGGAGAACAGCTATATTCCTGGAACTCCAATTCCATCACTTCGGGAACCTAGGATGATGACGGCCGAAAACATGGACCGCCCCAGCCAGCCTTATTCACAACCAGAACAGCCTGCACCGCCTTCTATCCTTCGACAAAATGATCCACTCAGCGACCATCGACTTTACTTGCCTCTCCAGCAGCCTCCTAATGAGAGCCCGTTATATCCACCCATCCAAGATCATGTCGCTACATCACAGCAGGTCCCACCACCGATGGTACCAGAGTATTCGTCCAGTCACCGCTACCCTCCTCCGTCCCAGGACCATGGCGGCTACGGCTCTTCTCACCCTGGATACCCCGTTCCCGAATATAGGGACAGCCCCCCCATCCAGCGATCATATGATCCAAGGATGGAGAGACGTTTGAGTGGATACGGCACCGAAAACTCAGCATATGGTCGGACATACTGGTCGCAGCAGCCACCTTCTGGTCCTCCTCCGCCCCAGACACCTCCTGCTGTTGCTCAACCCCCTCCGCCCTCGCAGCATTATCTTCCACCCCCTCACCCTTCGACGGGCCACTCCCGTGTTCCATTCTCGAGTCATGCAACCGCAGAGCCTCTGCCTCCATTGCGGCCTCCACGAGCTCGAAATCAGTCTCTCCAGGAAGAGTCGATGGTAGACCCTGGTTTGCGCTCGAACCCTCCCTCGAGTTCTTTCGGCAATTTTTATTCTTCTGGACCTTCAAGGCAATACCATCATGGCTATCCGGCCCCCGAGGCCCAGCCTCTCCCCAGTTTCCAGTCGCATCCTAGTGATAGACTGATGCCGAACCCACAGCCACCACCACCAGGTCCTGGCTATCTCAACTCGCCTCCTCCGCCACCTTCGTATGGGCCCCCAACATCGCCGACGTTTTCTCCGATGCAACTTGGAGGTCCGCATCTCTCCCACGGTTCTCCGGACGATGGGCGCATGGGGCTGGGTGGCGCATTCCGCCATCGCTCTAATGGCTCGATCTCGGGCTCGCCAGCCGACCTCAACTCGAAATATCGTAAACTCCAACCTGCTCCCATGCCGGCCCATAGGTCTTGGTCTAACAAACCGGAACTCAAAACAATACCATATGATCACAAGAATAGTTCGGGCGATGCTGCTGCCCTCCCTAACTCTGGTCCCACGCAGATCCGGGGTTGGAACGTCAACCAACATCGCCGACGGCCACGGTCGGACAGACGTGAGACTATGGATATTCCGAATGACAGAGAGGACTCCCGATAGAAGAAGGAAGCTCCTTTGGGCTCAAATTCCCGCGTGTCAAAAAAGAAGCCATCCAAGTCGAGTAAAACTCCCCGTGGTGTCAAGCCTGCTTTCTCAAATACCCTTCCTTCTTTGTACGAACCCCCCAAGCCATCAAGGACAACCTTTAAACTTGAATTAGAGGGCGAGATACTCACTCAAGAAGAAACCAAGGACAGTCCACCGGATCAGGCGGCTGGCAAAGAAGCTAGTCCTGGAACTGGTGACAAGAGGGCCTCGGAGGCTGTTACTACCGAAGCAGATTCTTTGAAGAGGCGGTTGCGCCCAAGAAAGCGCCAAAAGGTCGAAACTTCGACAGATGGACTTGATCCAAATGATGATGGCCCTGGCGGCATTAACAGCATCTCATGAAGTCTCGATGTCGTGCGGCTGCTTTCTATTACTTGCCACCTTGGACCTTACACGCATATTTGTTCATCTCATCCTATCTTTCATTTCGGATTTCTGCTTAATCACAAATATCCCGCTAGTACGGTTGTACCGTACTGATATCAACTAAGCAAGTGATATGACTTGCTATATATTTCCAGCCTTTCGACTATGTCTTAGTTCATGGTCTTGAAAACGAGAGGAAAAAAAATCCAATGGCGTTTTCAGGCTCATTATTCGGCCTTTTGCTTTTACAGGGAAGCTAGGGAGGACATACACCCCTGCCCTGCTTATTTGTTTGTTTACAACCTACGTCTTTTGCGTCTCGTGTGATTCACCGAGTTGGTTGGATTCGGCATTGCGTGGAAATGGAAAATACGGCTTCCTGTTAGCTACAGGGGCTTTCTTCAGTTTTTTTTTTTTTAGTTTTTTTTTGGACTCCCACAGATGGCGTGTGGGTTGAGGGTGTTCAAGCCGGCTAAGATTGCACATCGAATACGCCGGATAGCACGTGAGCTGAGGTGAATGAAGTCGGTCGTAATGTAACAGACCTTGGGGGAGGGGAGGATGAGACTTGAGCTACGAGAGTTGATGGTAATCCTTTATATTTATTGAATGACGGTCAGTGCTTAACACGTCAATCCAAGAACTTTGCATACTAAATGTCCCAAATTTGCCTGCTTGTATTATTGTGAGTAAAGAAATAGTCTCTGCTGGTGGGTAGGTATCCATGCTGTGTGTAAATGGGTCTTTTCATTTGTTTCATTTGCATCAGAACAGAGAATATATGTACACATGCCAAGTTTTCGCGCGAAAGCAAGCAAGAAAAAGTCTTGCACTTGAAAGTCGTACTAAGTAGATGACCGAAAGCAAAGCAAAAAAATAATCCAGATAAACCATTCCCTGGATTTTCTATTCCAACACCCCTTTCCAATTCTTTTCTCCAGCCCTATATTCTCTTTTTCAATATGTGTGGGAGAGCCACACGAACAAGCTATGCTGAACTTGGTTTCCTATCTATCGTGGTATCTTAGTGTTTTTCGTCTGCAGCTTTTTTAGAGCGCAGAGTAGATCGAAGGAGATGCAGAATACAACGAGAAACCTCGTCTATCTTAAGTAGATGATTCCTTGGGTGGTTCGGTCTCGCCCTGGGTGGAACTTGCATTGGGTGCGGTGGAAGGTTGGGATGGAGGAGCAGTTCCTGCAGGGTGGCCTGCCGCGATTGATGCGTCGGCGGTTGGTAGCTGTTCGCCCGTGCCATTTGTCGGCTGCTGACCTAGCACAGGGACAATCTGGCCAGGGATGATTGGCATAGAGATGCCTGGTGGAATCATCGCTCCTCCCATAGGGAAGCCATCGGGGATTGGCATAGCGGCCATGGCGGTGGGATCGAACGGCATACCATCCATCCCTACTCCCATCATGACGTCGCCGCCGGTACCGCCATTAGGGATCAGAGGTTCATTGGACGCGAGGGAAAGTTGGAGGGTTCCAAGCGCGCCCTCAGGATGCAGCGGGTACATGAGAGACTCCATGGTATTTCCATCGAGGATAATCATGTTCTGAATAGGTTGCTCCTTCTGGCCAAGAACGTTGATGACGTCCTGAGCGAGCTGGCCACCGAGAATTGCCGATACTGGGGCAATCTCGCTGCCAAGGTTCTGGAGGAAGCTACGGAGAAACTCAGAGCTGAGAGTCTCGCTGGGCAGGCCTAGAGCTTTGTGTTTCTGAGTGGCAATCTGAGTGAACATCTTAAGATCCTCGCGATTGCTGGGTACTTGGCCACCCTTGGCTTGCATAAATTCCCACAGGGCACGCAAGCAGGATAATGCCGGGGTAACGCTCTTCAGACGACGTTTGGACTTGGTGTATTCTTCTGGTAGCCCGGCCATATCACTGGCTAGGAACCAAGTGGAGAAGAGTTCACGCTTGGTGACAGACTCCATGTTCTTCGTGCCTTCTTTCCGTGTTTTCACATCAATAATAGAGCGTGTTCGTGTTTCCTGCTTCGGCTGAGTAGCAATATTTCCCACCTCGCGCTCAATGACATAGTCGTGCTCAATAAGATCGCTAAAAAGAAACCCATACATGCCGTGCGTACTGGCTCCGTAGAACTTTCTGCCGTTGAGGCGTGTGGCAGTGTTAATGAGGTTGAAGGAGTCCGAATCGAGGTCGGTGGCGATGACGACATCAAAGCCTGCGAAATAGCTGGGACCCTTCGACTTGACGCCGTCTGCATCAATGTGAACCTGGACGCGAGGATTGAGTTTTTGGATAGCAGGGTGAGCGGCGGCGGCCCGGTTCTGACCAACGGGGTTCTCAACACCAGATAGGAAGAATTGTGCACCAAGGTCTGCCTCGGTAACGACTGTGTCGTCTAGAATGGTGAGAGAGCCGATGCCGGCAAGGACGAGATTTTTGGCAATCTCGTTGGCTAGCGCTCTCATGGTGATGAGAAGCACGTTGGCACTCTGGATCTTTGCTTGAGCGGCCACGCCCCAGAGGCGGATTTGGCGATCATAGAGTGCAATATCGTCTAAATTTCAGGAATTAGCAACCTTCATCGCAGAAAAAGATAATGTCGGTAAGAAAACTAAGTACCTGCGCTGATTTCCTTGGGCTGAGCTGGGGCGGCAGGGGTGTTGCCGTTTGCCATCATAAGAGGCATTGCCATCATCTGGGGATCAGGCATTGGGATGGCCATCATCGAAGGGTCTGGGATGAAAGGCTGTGTAGGTAAGATGGCAGCCATAGCCTCGGGATCCATCAGGTTCGGGTTGGGAATCTGGGGTAGGTCCATAGGGCCAAGGCCATTGGGGGCGATCTGGGGTGCAGGACCGGAGTTCTGAGGGTTCTGCTGCTGCTCAACTGGTGCCTTGGCCGACTGCGGCGCTGGCGCTGGTGGTTGGTCCATGGTGATAGATGCAACTCTTGAGGAATGTTAGATGGAGGTGATGATGCGCGAGCAGAGTGGAGCCGATGGCAAGCTAGAGCCTTGTCCTCGGAGAAGGATGCAAAGATGATCCAGACGCGTGGTGAGGAAGCGATGAGATGTTGTAGGCTGTCGTGAAAAAAAAAGCAAACAAACCAAAAAGACACTCCGAGCACGAGAAACCGGCCAGCGGATGTTCAGCCCAGCTGAGAGATCCAACCACCTAGTCGACTAAGCACAAGCACTTTTTTTCGGATCCGTCAGGTCGGCCAGAGCACCGTCCGGCTCTGAATTTGTATAGTCTCAACTGGATATGCTTGGGTTGGTAGATATTGCGTGGAAGAAATCTATGCACCGGTGGAAACGGGCTTGATAGACTACGCAAGCACGCAGGCGAGAGAAAGAAAATAAAAGCTGGTTTCTAGCAGCGTGTTGTTTGCCTCCGTGTACTGTCTGTTGGCCGTGTTGGTGATCAGTTTCGGGGGGCGACGCTGGCGTGAGGCGCCTAGGGGAACGCGCTAGCCTGATTGGGGCAGATGGGGTTGGATCCACGAAGCTGGGCATGAATCGAGCCTCGAGGCTGCAGCAGGTGCTCTTGCCCACCTCAAAGTACAAGCCTGGCAAGTTGGCGGGCAGCTCTTGCCGTGGCCTGTGGTACATTCTTTGTGTGGCCCTCCAGATCAGTGTCGATCCCCTCATGCCTCTCTCTGCCTTTCGCCCCGTCGCCACTCAGCGTCCATGTCCAGGGCGACAATACGTCGTGTTGTACCTCGGTGAGTTGCAATGATACTCCAGTGCGACTCAACCACCCTGGGAGCCATGCTTGCTATCGGGTTTCCGTAGAGTCCTGTCTTGGCGTATTTCTTTCCTGTTACCATGTGTACTGCATCAACTACGAAGCCATGCCATTCCCTCTTGATGTATGTTTTCTATGCGTCCATATGTCAATTAGCTAGAGGTATGAGCACATGATACCCCAGTATGTGGAGGATGGGCTACCAGTCATCTTCACCAGCATTCTACATAGTGTCACCTATAGCTCCCTTCATAAATGAGTCCCAACTCGCTCTACGTAACTTACCGCCTCTAGTACCGTGAGTATATACCTCGCTGTGGCCCGACTCCGATTCGCCCCCACGACTGACGGGCACGAGCATGAGAAATGCTGCATCACCGCCCAAGCTCTGAAACAACCTGTACTGTCCTGCACATCCTCGTCGCCAGCCTTGGCCAGCGTCTGGAATGCACCCACGACAGCCCGCCATTGGCCATATTCAAGAGCCATCGAAATGAAATGAGTAGCTTGCAGTACGAAATTTGATGTTTGGGACACAGGGCATTCCCAGTTGACAAGGTTTGGCTAGTACCTTGTATGCTCTGTAGGTACTTTATGCGTTAAAAATGCACTTCAGGGCTGATATCATTTGGGAGGGGTGATGTGATACCTCACCCTCGGCCAGCCACAATGTGTCCAGGGAGTAATGGATAGCCCGATAACGATGAGACATAGTGGAATATCCACACCTCCTCACATGAGGAAGCAGGTCGGAAACAGGTGCAGCAGCATTTGCCTAGCAGGACTAGCATCAAGTAAGGTAAGGTAATATAGTAAGACCACCTCCAGCTCGGTACCCCAAAGAAGGGAAGTACCTCGAGAAGGATGGCTTGAACTCTTCCACCGCCTGGCGACACAATCCCGTCATCAACCCATGTGCGATTTGCCCACTCCACCCATGCAGGTCACCTTGTTTTCTTGCTGCTTGCATTCTTCCTTTCCCACTCGCCTCCTCCCGCACTCCTGGAGTCCCAGGCGAAGACACAGAAGCGACACGAAGCCCTCCCACGACTGGTGCCTTGGAGCGTCCCCAGTCTGAGCCCGCACGTGCTGTGAGCCGTTGCCGCACCCACTGGACCCTGACGGCACAGCACCCGCCTATTACAACCATCTGCCTCACTATTAGCGGATGCTGCCTCGCTGCCTGCCAGCAAGGCGCCGCCACCATTGATCCATTGATCTTTACTTCCTACCACCAGCGATACCCGGCCGTCGCCCGGCCTTGCACCACTTTAACCGCACTGCACAGCTCTCCCCTCCTACCTTCTTTTCTTCTTCAATTTTCGAGTCGTTGCTGGCATCGAGTCCGTCTGCCAGGCTTGTCCCCTCTGCCGACATATGGGGTGGTTGCCGGGTTCTTGAACCATGTCGTCAAGATCTGGCTCCTACTCTCGCCGCCCGCGTCCACGTCAACGTGAATCTCCTCTCGACAGACCTCTCGACAGACACAGAAGCCGCCTGAATTCCGTTCCACTCCCCGGGGTGCATTCCTTCACTCATCAGGGGGACACCCTCACCACCTCACCTCTCCCACCATCACAACCGAGAAGCTCGGCGAATGCCGCTCGGAGAGCTGAGCGCATCCGCAACATTGACGAATACAGCGGCTTCCAGAGAGCCCCCGATCAGTCTGGCAACCACGAGCAAAACCTACACACGAACAGTGCCCACATTGACTCTCTGTGGGCTACGTTTGACGAGCTAGAACAAGCTTCCGATCTGACGAATCTGCAGCTGAGGGACCTCTTGGACCTGACCAACCATAACACCATGAGCCACACCTTGCCACCAGGCAACGCCTCGCCGTTGCCGAGATCTTTTGACCCGCCAGATGATAACCGCCGGAACAAGCGACGGAAGATTGATGCCGACCGACTTGCTCCCACCATCTCGCGCATCCGCTATGGCAAATACGGGTCAGTTGAACCTGGGGCGCTGCGTATGGAAATCTTGAGCTGCGATGGAGGTTCGTACGCATCATCCAACCCGTCTTCTTATGTGGCAGAGAACCTTTTAAGGAATGATGAGACTGTATACTGCACCAAGGGAAACAGGTGCAATGTTGTGCTCCGTCACGAAGGCGGGGCACCCTTCACTCTACATGAGCTCGTCATCAAGGGCCCTACTTCAGTAAATTACTCGCATCCGTAAGTCTTGCTTTCGACTCCCCATCACTGCTGCGACTGACTCTTGGCACCCAGGATACGCGAGGGCATGGTCTTCGTGGCTATGCGCCAGGATGAAGTTCTCACCCGCACCGCCCAATATCAGATCCAATACTCGCCCCTCCCCCAACGAGACCCTCTGGCGACAACCCCAGAACGAGAAGACCCCCCTATCAGGTCCATTCGTTATAGCCGTGATGGGACGACCACGGGAAGATTTAGGCGGTCTCAGGCAAACGGAAGTGAAGACGAAGGCTACCGCATGGCCCAGATGCCCCCGGAATTTTCCACCAACATCCCCGAGTTTGGTGTAACAACACTGTGCAACGACGACGACCTAGATGAACATGGACGTCACATCACCCGCCGAGCCCCGAATCGAATTGGCTCCCTCCCCTTCGAGTCCCGTGACTCAGATGAAGAAAACAACGCCGCCAGTAACAATATTGCCACTTACAACTACAGTCCCTCCGTCTTGGACTTTGACGACTTCCTCGCGTCCGAACACCAAGGAAACCCCTCCCACCTCCTCAGACTCGCTCGCGAGCAGCGTGAGCGCCGTGAGCGTCGTGAAACCCTGAGGGAAACCCCAAGCTCAAATCAAATCCTATATCAACTCACAAGAGAAACCCAAACCCAGACCCAGAGCCGGAGTCAGCCCTCAGATACCATGGCCATGTCCTTCGCAGAGGCCCTCGAGGCGCACAACAATGCCACCCAGGAGGCAGTCCGAGCAGTCGGCGGCGAGCTCCTCGCACCCCATGCTCGCTTCTACATCGACAAGCGCAGCAGCACGTGCTCACTCACCTTCGACCCGCCAGTCTCGGGCCGGTTTATCCTCCTTAAGATGTGGAACTCCCACCACGACCCATCCAGCAATATCGACATCCAGACTGTCATGGCCCGGGGCTACGCGGGAGGCCGGTATTTCCCCACCGTTGATTTCCTCTAGGACAAAGCGTGGACTTGATTTGATAATGTTTACATGCCAAAACGCAAGGGATGTTGGGGAAAATGTTTGAAATCCGCAATACCTGGCGTTCGTATTTGTCCTTTCAAACTGCTTGGAGGGTTTTCCCTTTCCTGCGTACTTCTCTCGTTTAATTCCCTGGGTGATGATTTTACGTAAAGGCGTTTCACAGGCCAGTGAGGAGATCACGGTTCTTGAGGTTTGGAATAGAATCTATTATTTATGATGTTACGACTTTTGACAGCTCCCCGTTGTTAATCTTAGGTAGTGAGAAAGGGGGAACGATGGACTGGTCCCCCATGATGGGCAGTTTCCCCCAGCACTGTACTCGTACACACGCCTCGAGAGCAGAAAAGAAATTTATGAATTCCAGTTCTTATAACACCTGAAGCGTGCTTGGAGTCCTTGTCGTCACCTCCTTACTCGGGTATTCTCTCACGCCTGGCTCCTCAAATGCAAGGGATAGGCCTGTAAACAGCGCCCCGGTGAGACTTGAAATTCGACAACTGCGCGTTAGACTTTTGAATTTTTTACTTATACGATTCGACCACGGGGAAGCCACCCTTACATGATGATACTGGTCAGTTTGAAAACCAAGCTGCCCACTGGGACGCTGAGGACGGTGGACTTGATGGTGAGCAGGGACCAGGGGATCTCGTGCTTCTCGCCCTGGGAGAGCTGCTCCCAGACGTACGCCTCGTGGAAGATGAGCAGCAAGGCGAGGGCGTGAAGAACAGCCGTGAAGAGGGTGCAGCGGCGGACGTAGCGGGGCGTGAGGAAGGGCCCCGGCCCGGAGGCGCGGCGGTGGCGGCCCATGGTGGTGATGAAGGAGGCGACGAGGACGAGGGAGGCGACGCCGGCGGTGGCGGCCGTGTAGTTGTAGACGGCCCAGTCCGGGTACATGGGGTCGGGGAGGCGCTTGGTTTGTGCCATGGCGACGAAGGAGAGGGCCAGGAGGGCGAGGTTGGAGATGGCGAAGACGACTAGCTGGGTGGTGAGGATGAACTGGGCTAGCCTGGAGGGGTGGCGGCGTTGTCTATACATGGTGTATGTGTGTGGTCGGAGCTGATGGATGCTGGCTATGTGATGGTATCAAGGCGACGGAGAGGAAGTATAATGTGATAATGGATGTTTTGATTCGTATACTTGGAAACGACTGGAAGATGCGGAGACTTGCGAAACGATGGGGGAGATGATATCTACAGTACTGGAAGTTGGGCATTGGAAGTACGGGTTTACGATGGTGTTGTTGATGTCCCGGAATGCACTTGCCTCGTCTGGAGGTTATTCAACACTGAACAGGTAGGTGCAAGCACTTCTCTGTGTTATTTGGCAGACTAGAGATATCCTTGCTCGGGTTTCTGAATAGGTAAGAGTGATGGTCTTGTTTAGATCACAATAGACGGAAGTTGAGGTTCAGGATGCAGAGTATCAAAGCCTGGATGTTGCTGTTAAAGGTGGCTATTCACAATGTCGGATAGAGTTCCAAAATCCAGACTCACAACCAGGAACATTGGAAATTGACACACCTCGTTCTACCTTGCTTTGGGGCTGTGGGAGTATCTTTTATTTGTTGAAGGCTGATAATGAGCAGTAAGAAACGCACCCTCTATCATCAGTCTTGTCATCTGTGCTATATTACCCTGGCTATTGCAGATAGTGTGGTTGCTCATCATGCTGGTGTCTCACTTCTTTTGTCACCCTGCTGACCCGATGCTGACGGCTGAGCCCCTCGCTTGGAATCGCGCATGCAGTGGAGATGGCGATGACTGGTCTTTGCCAAATGACGGTCGACTACGTAGACTCACTCAGCGACATACTTGGTATGCCCTGCCTCGTATTTGATCGGCAGCTCTTCCTCACTGGAGGAGAGAATTGAAGGCATGGATGCCTGGGTCTCGACCACAGGGCAAGACACAAGCACTGGTTCCACGACACACAGCATTAGACTCGAGAGGGCCTGTACTGTCGTAACACGCATCTTGCCCGACCTTTTTTTGGTGGATTTTTTCCTCGCCACAGGGCATACACACCCATGTAATGCACTAGGCCTGCCCTTCGATCTGGATCACATGGAACCAGATGTATACGACGTACGAAGCACATATTGCCTGTCCATTCTATGCAGACTCGAGTAGTGCAGATCCATCCGTTAGCTGAGGGGCAGAGAAGCACAGGCGGGGCGGTATGAGACAATGAGTTCCAGAGTGGGGGACTGAGAGACCACTGATGAACCCCTCAAACAGATAGACCTCAGTACCTTAGACCTTTGGGTGCTTGGGTAGGTGCATGTGATTCTTCTTCTGCCACTAGCGAGGCCAGGGACTGAGATGGAAAGGCAGGGGTCAGGTATGTATGCACGATGCATGCGTGAATAAGTCGATGGGAGGTAACGTCGCGAGGAGTAGCTTCCTTCTCTAGCAGAGACAGATGGACGCAAACAGTGCCCAGGTTGGCAATTGCTAGGGAGGGTTTGCGCTTTGCAGGTCTGCTTGCTCCCATGTAATGTCAATGGGTACATTGAATGCAATGTTCCGCCCTGGTCCAGAGGCCAAGAATTGCCTGTTGGAGGCTGCACACCCAGATCCACCCGCAGCCTGTCGACCAGCCCGTCAACGGAGGCCGTCGGCCAATCTGGATGCACAAAGGGCAGCGAACATGGATATCTGCCATGCACCACCAACACTAGGCCCTCGACTGCAGCGACGTGCTCAACGAACCACGAGTCGTTGTTGCGCCTCCATGTTTACCTTGCCTGCGTCTCCCATTCAGCCATCTTTTTCTTTTTCTCCCTCCTCCACGGCAGTATTGTTCATTGTTCATCGCATCACCGATGATACACTCGGCGTCATACGTTGCACCCGGCGACCAGTCTGCGCGCCACTCTCAAACATCGGCATTCCTCGCCATAAGCCAGTGATCGACCTCGCTCCCGGCAACTTGAAACATTCCGCCTCCTCATTCCCCACGCATCTGGCAGACGACAGACAAATAGCACCCGCCCATCCAGCCAGACTACTCTTGTTCCATGTCCCGCCTGTTTCCAGATCAGATTCATCATCCTCAAATCTCCCGCTAGCTGGTTGAGTTGGCTTCGTGAAAGTCTGATTGACGAGCCGGCCCTCGCTAGGAAGCCAAAGGCCCCCATGCTGAGCGAGCTATCGATATAGCTTACCTATCCGCCAAAAATAATCTTCTCCTCTGGATCTTACCCTTACGGAAATAGTTAGCCCAGGGACCAAAAAGGCCCGAGGTCAAGGATTGTAGAGGAGGAAGACACCAGGTGCCGGATTTGACACCAGGTAAAGGCCTCTGATCCGTTTCATTAGCCAAACGCGGACTGTCAAGCCTTGATGCGCATTGACTAGCTCGTACGAGCAATCTACGGGAGCCTCGTTCCCCACAACGCCGTTATGCTAGAGCAGCTAGGCTCCCATGCGATGGAGGATGGATCCCCTGTCCAGGGGCATCGCGGTCATAACGCCTACAGCCAGCTCCAAGAGCAGAGCTATCATGACCGTCCTCGATCATTCCGCACAGTACAGACCGCGTTAATCTCGCCTCCTCCCCTGAGTCTGCAGTGCGACGGGATCTTGGCCGATTCTGCAAGTCCCTTCACTCCTAGTCCTGCCGCCCCCGCTGGAGCTTCTAGGCAACGCGAATACTTGTTTACCAGCCGACCGGAGAGCGGTTCCCCAACTAAACAGCGGTCGCCTCTGCGCCAGTCCCTGACTTTCACCGAGCCTCCTGAAATCAGCCCAGGCCCTGATCCCACAAGCGTCGAAATGTCGTACACCGGAGACAAGAAGAAACCGGCGAATAGCCCTCGAGATCGCGGATTACCATGGCGAAGCCCCTCGATGTCCGAGAGCCAAGACCAGCCCGCGGGTTCGCCAGATACCACGCCGACACGTCCAGCCAAGTTCCAGGGAGGCAGTCGGACGCCTAGCTCTAAGCCCTCATCACCAGCTGGGAGCTCTCGATTCGCCTTCTTCGCCTCGTCCATGGCCGCATTCAAGGGGCGATCGACGTCCAATCCAGTTGTGGTGCCTCAGGACGACGAACTCATTTCAATGGACATAGAGAGTGCACTGTATCCTGGGGGTGCCGACGCGAATTCAAATACCTTCTCGCCCGCTGCGTATAAGAATTTACAAATGACTGCCAAGGGATTATTGGAGCGTTTCCAGTCTGCGTACCAGCAAAAGACGATTGACTACCAGGAACTCAAGGCAGAGCATGGCGTTCAGGATGACGAAAAGGAGGAAGCCGAGACGAGAATGCACCATCTCAGGATTCAGCTGGAGGGCATGGCGCAGAAAGCCGCCGAACAGGAACTTGCTATGCAAGCTTTGATGGAGGAACTCGCGATCGAGAAGAGACTGAGGCGGGAGGAGAGGCAGGCGCGCGAAAACTTCACGTCCGTATCAGGCGAGTCAACACCATCGGAAGATTTAGGTGTGGAAGAGGACCAGAAGCACAGACAATGGAGACGGAGTGTCTGTACTGCAAAGTCGGATATGAGCTTTGAGACGGACGAGGAGAGCATCGAAGGAGCCAGCGTCTTTTCAAGATCACGCAGCCCCACCATCGTTACTACTGTGACGGAGCTCAGCCATGTCGACCAGGCGCTGCCGCCACCAACGAGGTCTCCAGCCTCGCCCGCCCTTCGAGTCGTGAGGCAGCCTCCGACGCCACAGGCTACACAAATGAATACCTTCCAAAAATTGTTTAAGGGCATCTCGGGCGATGCCAACACCACAACCAGTGTAGCTTCATGTCGAAATTGTTCTGGTCAGGACGCCAGCGTGGCATGGGATACGGTCACCTTACTCAAAGATGAGAATAAGGGCCTGAAAGAGAGAGTGGGAGAATTAGAGAGTGCGGTCGAGGGTGCTCTGGATATTGTGCAAGGTTTTGGAATAAAGGGATTGGCAATTCAAGGCTAGAGATTATCTTTGGCAAGGTATACCCCAGCTCGTTGATTTTGGCGTTATGATTGGGATTGAGGTCTGAGTTTCAAGGCGCTTGGGAAGATATCCTCACATATACATAACTGGTGTTATGAAGCAGAATACCTGTTTGAAAATGAACTATATGAAAGAAAAAGATGAATTGTAGTCATGCATGGTGGGGATTGATTGCGTGCCATGCTCTTGTAGATTCATCAGGAACTTCACCTTCAGCCCTAGCAGCTCGAGTGCGTTCTCAACTCGAAATTCTGAATTAGCGAGAGAACGAAAGTGGTAGATGCGGTTATTTGTTTATTGATATGGCTGCCAAGAATATGTGAAGGAGCCGTCCTTGAGTTGTTATGAGGCAGGCCATGTGCCCACTTCAAATAGAATGTCGCTCATTGGTCGATTTTAGCTCGGCTTGCTCAAGACGTAGGAGCTGGCTGCTCTTTTGTCGGCTTCACATGGCGGCCGTTCTGCATGATTTGACCGAATTTATTGCCCTAGAAAATTGCTCACTAGCTGCTGAGCGAGTGCGATATATATGTACACTTTTCTTTCCACCTTCCCGCCCCCTCTTCAATGCATAGCCGCCGTGTCTAGTGGTGCTCCTCGCCATGGCCGTGGTCGTCCCCGTGGTGGTGCTCCTCCTCGAGGAAGAAGTGCTCGTAGAGGCAGTATCCGGCGAAGGCGACGGAAGCTGTTCCCAGGCCGGGGAGACCTCCCTTGAATCGGTTCCATCGGGTGAAGGGGCCCTGGTATCTCCATGCCTCACTGGGGGGGTTTGTTAGCCTCGAGGAAGATGCAAAGGGGTCGGTTCGGGTCTGGAGAAGAGGCTTGTATGGTGAGGATGGACGTACGCTCGCTCCCAGGGATCGTATCTGGGCTGGCCGGTGGAGGCCTTGAAGGCGCGCATGTTGAAACCGGTGATGTTGGCTTTGGACCCGTGGGCCGCTCGTAATACCCTGTTGCGAGGGAATTGTCAGTTTCTAGGGGTGCAGGGTGGTTCTGCGCGGGAAACCCTACCTTGAGGCGAACATTTTACCGGTTGAACAGTCGTGTGGTGATGCCAATCGGTGCAGCTGGATCCAATTGATGGCGAGCGTGAGGACTGGAGGGTGTCGGACGAGTCGTTTCTCGGAACAAAGTAGCACAGAAGTTCCGGCACTCCAAGGTCAGTGCACGGACCACCTCCAGACCTCCCCTTGCATTCCACCTCACACTTCATCTTCAATAGAGTATTTGGACTACACTACACTTCAACCCACTCTCAACCACTTATCTCGCCACCGCACTTGAATTCATTTATCTGTATAATTTCCCGTGGACCAAAATCCATCCGAAATTGCCCAGCTCGACTGCGTCCTGTCCGGATTGTGCCAGGCTCACCGACCCCTCCCCGCGATCAGGTACCCTTATCACGCCCAAGTGGCTCTGCCTGGCCTCGACCTTTCGCTACTGTGCGAACCTGGCATTGGATCCGTAGCGACCAAGGCGCACGCACACGCCAGTTTGGACTCAATGAGTAACCAGCGAGACGGTGTGAAGAACTTCCAGACCAGAACGACGACGCGTTAGAAACCGCCATCCGGCAGAACCTCCCAACAACCGCCGCCTTCATCATCTCATTCCTTCCCGCAGCCCGCCACCAACAGCCGCCCGACACCGAACCGTAAAACCCGAGGAGGAAATCAAGGCCGAGGGCGAGGGAACCCGCATCGCAAGCAAATTGCGCCGCCGCCGGGTCTTGAGCCGTTCCACAATCAATATCCTCAGAGCTTCGTAGTCCCCGGACCAGCCCAGGCCTACTACGACCACATGCCACCTCCAATCCGGGCCTTCGGCGCCGGTCCTGGCGTCGGCGCGCCGTTCCATCAGCCTGGATTCCCCTCGCATGCCCAGCCCCACGGCGGGCCGCTTGGTGCGAACCAATACCTCAATGCCAATGCCCAGATGAATCCCTTCTCTGGCGCAAACGGCAACGCCTTTGGCGCAGCTGGGCTGAATGGCGCGGGGGCCGGCTTCCCAGACACAGGCTTCGGCAGCCAGAGTGCGCGGATGGGATTTGCGCATGGCCCCGGTGCTGGCATGCAGCCCCCTCACCACGCTGGCCACCTCCACCACGGCCTCGCGGAGCAGCAGCATATCAGGCCCAACCAGAGCCGGGGGAGGATAAGGGAAGTGTGGGCTCACAACTTGAACGAGGAGATGGCCGTATTGCGAGATTTGGTAGACAAGTATCCCTACATTGCTATGGTAAGGACTACAAACACCCGCTTGAAGTTGAGGTGTTTCCCTTTTGGCTTACAGTTGTAACTATACAGGACACCGAATTCCCCGGTGTCGTATCAAGACCGATGGGAGGATTTCGGGGGAAGAGTGACTACCATTATCAATGCTTACGAACGAACGTGGATATGCTCAAGGTTATCCAGATCGGGTTGACGTTGTTCAACGAGGACGGCGAGACGCCACCCGCTAGACCAGCATCCACAGATATCGACTTGGGGCCAGGTGGACGACGGAACACTAACCAGGCCGCGTTCCCATGCTCGTGGCAGTTCAACTTCAAGTTCTCCCTCAAGGAGGATATGTACAACGAAAAGTCGATCGAGTCCCTGCAGCAGGCCGGCATCGATTTCAACCTCTTGGAACGAGACGGAATCGACCCCCACGCCTTCGCTGCTCTTCTCATCCCCTCTGGCATGGTCTGCTTCGACAATGTTAGGTGGATCTCTTTCCATGGAGGATACGACTTTGGGTATCTGACCAAGTTATTAATATGCACTGCTCTCCCCAACGACGAGGTCGACTTTGACCACAAGATGAAGCTTTACTTCCCTAGCACATACGACGTCAAGCACCTTATGAAGTTTGCCATCAAGCTTCACAACTCTGGGTTCCTGACACCACTCGACCCTAGCGTTGCTGATATCCTACAAAAGTTCGAGCATAAGTCCGGGCTCGAGAACATCGCGGAGACGCTCAAGATTAAGCGTGTTGGGTCGGCTCATCAGGCCGGCTCGGACTCGCTGCTCACTGGCAAGGTCTTCTTCCAGATGCGGGACAAAATCTTCAACGGCGAGATCCCCGACGAGCACGTCGGCAAGGTCTGGGGTCTTGGGATCCCCGACTCCAGCCACCTCGTCATGCCCCCCATGATGAGCCAGGGCGGCGGCGGCGGCGACGGCCAGACCAACGGATCCAACAACCAGAACGGAGGAGCCCCGAGCACGCCCAACAACGGCACCATCGGTCTGGCGACCACCCCGGCGGCGCAGAGCCACAACACCAACGGCCTGGCCCACATGGGGCCAATGACGCCCGGGGGTGGCGGCGGCGTCTTTGGCAACTTTGCATTTGCGGGCAACAGCAGATAGGACGCTGTGCGTGGATGCCGAATGGACCCGATGCAGTGAAACAACAAGGGAAACTCGGGAACATTGGAACGGTGAAGTTGGCAAGGCGGAATGAAGGTTGACAACTCTCGACATTTTACATGAAGAAAAATAAAAAAGGAACATCAGGAAGCTGGAGGAGCAGCAGCACAATATACTGAAGCAACCATTCTACTTCTCCTCGTCTTCTATATCTGTCTTTTTAAAAATAACGGGACGAGTCTCTTCGGAACCCCTCCGAGCTTCGCTCGTTTCAGTTTTCCCACGGACGACGGAATAAGAAAAACCAACAACAAAACCCAGATCCTGTCAGGAAGGCAACTCTTGCCCCCCTCCCCCCTTATCTCGTGACTTATTTCCTTGTTTGAAGGTGGTGTACTACTATGGACATCGGAAAGGGTTGGAACGGAGTTTTCAAATTTGATCAATTTTGGCTCGTCGCTTTTTACTCGGTAATCTGATATTTTTCGTCACGAAAAGGGGGAAAGGGAAAGTGCTGGATCGGGGTGTGGTTGGTGTTGGAGCTTCTTTCGTCGTTGTGTTTTGACCCCTAGGGTTTTGGCGTCAACGAATTTCATTGTTTCGACGGAACTATTCGGTTTCTTTTCTTTTTTTTATAGGAAGGGCGGATGGGTTTTGGCGCGGTTTCTAATGCTCTTCTTTTGCGGGGGGGTTTTCTGTTGCCAATGGGGGAGAAAAGGGGGTTTCTGTTTCCGTTGTATCGGGGCCCCGTTGCGAAATGGATTCTTGTGTGTTTTTTCTATGCGTGGTGTCCTCTTTCTCTTTTCTTCGGTTTCTTTTTTTCTCTTCTCGCCCTGTCTTTTATTTTCTTGGTAACACACATACAAGGTTTACCGATACGATATTGGTATTGCACATCCAGAACTCTACACTCATTATCGGGATGCTTGGAAAATGGAAATGGAAATGGGATAGATGAATGCAGAACTCTGATCACGCTGGGTGTGTCCTCTTTCCGTTGCTAATGCTAATTGGTTGTTATGAATGCCTCCTACTTCCAATCGCCAGATTGAGAGGAATTGATATTGTGCTGCCTTGACGACCTCCGCTCCAGGAACTCACGCAGCAAAATGTAATCAATGCTGTTGTTGCACCCAACCCATGGATAAAATAAAAGTTGATGAAGCCCTGCCGTAAAGTCAATACTACGTTGAAACGCCCCCCCGCCCTTTCCTCCCGTATGCCAACTGGGAGGGCATGGAAATGAGAACACGAAAAGAATGCTTGTTATGTTATGTACACCTTCTTGAGGTCCTCTTGGTGGTGCAGCGTGCCCGTCATCGGGTCCTTGACCTGGCACGAGGGGAGGCCGGCCTTCTTGGCCTCGTCGACGAGGCGCTGCTTGCTGCAGGTCTTGCCGGAGGGGAACATGACCAGGTCGGGCTGGACGTGGCTGTTGGTGTGATGGGCGTACGGCACATACTTGGCGAGGTCGTTGAGCTCGGTCGAGCAGATGGGGCAGACGCCGTGGTCCTGGGAGCTGTTGTCGTCTTGGTGGGCGCGAACGGAACCACCCCCCTGGTTCGTTGTGGAAGAAGCGTGGCAGGCTGGTGTCTTGAGGGCGGAGAGACCGGATGAGAGGGCGATGTGAAGAAGCGGGACAGAGGGGAGGGAGAGCAGTTGATTGTGGGTGGTGGTGAAGAGGTCGGCCAGCTCGGTCCAGCGAGGGCGGTAGAGGTCGGCATAGCAGTCCTCCGCATTGCGAGAGTTGGGGGGGAGGGCGAGGAGACCGCAGGCCTGGGCGACCTCCCTAGGGTGCTGGCTGCGGTAGGGGATTAGATGCTTCTTGGCGTGGGTGATGGCCTCGACGAGCTTGGGCTGGGTGCCTGCCCGGATGAGCTCGATGTACTGCTGGAGCCGTAGCATGAACTCCAGCTTGCACTGTACCTCGGCATGTTAGTGACTTGGTTGAGATGGGCTATTGAGCGGGTGATTGAGAATCATACCTCCATCTTTCGAAGCTCTTTCTTATTCTCTGCGCACCAGGCCAGAGCTTCCGTAACGCTCCCGCCCAGCAGGGCGAGCCGGATCCGTCCCATGCTCTCAAAGGTTTCGACGTCCACCAACCGCTCCATGTTTCTCTCCTTGGCCAGCTGCTTGGCGCTCTCGTGGAACCCGTTCCGGAGAAAGTAGTCGGCAATCAGCCTATCCAGCCTCTTCCTACTCCACGACTCGTACTTGACGTCCTCGACGGTGTTGATGCCGTAGAGGTCGTCGAGGTGCTGGATGCGGGCGGCCGTGTGCTCGTGCAGACGGGCCTCCTCGCCCGCGTACTGGGACAGCTTGCGCTTGACCCCCCGCATGCGGGTGATCATGGCGTCGAGGTTCTTGAGGACATCCTGCTGCGAGGCCCGGCCGGACACCGCCGCGGTGGCGGATTCCTTGAGGAGGTTCTTGAGCGCCGATGTGTCTCTCTCGATTACAAAGTGGGCTGATCGGAAGTTCTTGCGGAGGAGCTCGTTCGGGAGGCGGAGGAGCGGCTGATCCTGCAATTCAAGAGCAAGAAAAGCATATTGGTTAGCTTTAATAATCACATGTAATAGCTCGAAGCAGAGGGGGAGAGAGACGGGCGGATGTGGGCACTTACAAGAAGCAGGTGGTCGTTGTGCTTAATGGCGGAGGACTCGTGACTGGCCATGGTGGAAGTGCACAAGAGGCGACGGTGTGAGGCTGGCCGGTAAAGCGGAGTGCAATGAACATGGGATCATTTGAACGGCACCAATTCCGGAGAAGAAGGCCTCGAGTCTTGTGTCACGAGAAGCCCTTCTCGGTCGTTGGTGAGCAGAGTTCCTGGATGCATGCCAGGACGGTGTCGGGCTGGCTGTAGGGCCTCTGTGACGTTATCGCGGGGCCGGATTAACATCCGATAAGATACCTGGGCTGAAGTACCTCGTCGACGCTTAATGCCATTTATTAACTTGCTCCAGGATATGTCAGAAGGAACATGATTGAGATTAAAGCTGATGTGGCACAAGAACTATCTATCTATAGGATCAAAATACAATAATTTGGGAAATGGTTGCTTGCTTGTCCGCTGAGAGCTGTGTATCTCAACGCCAATGACACGGGCTTACACTGAGCTTGCCACATCCCTGCTGGTGCTCCCTTCATGTACCCAACCATCCCGCCATAATAGAGTATCTTCAACCTAGTTGAGTAGTAATTGGCATCCATGGACTTAAACTAGCAGGCGCAAGCATCCGCCGGGGTTTCGGGACAATTGAAAGGCTGCTCCTACAATGGACAGTCAGTCACCTTGCCTGTTGGCTGCATGTTGGTGGCTGTCATCAGAGAGGATGGATCGGATGGATGTCTCAAATGTCATCATGTTGGCTCATGCAGCATTACAGAAGGTCCACAGGGGCTAGCAAATCACTTGACGTGACCTGCATACGACTGTGGTAGGCCAAGACATCAGATAAGGGGCCATCTCTGCTCTGCGCCCGCGAGTTGATTGATGGCGGCGTGGAACGGCACAGTAGCCACAGCCCTCCGCTAGCGATGGCATTGTTTCGAGAAAGGGCAAGGGAATGCTCAATGTTTCACTCATGCTGAGGGCTAGTATCAAATGATGCGATCCGGATCAGGTGATGGATGGATGGAATTCGCAAAGAGGTGTTGCTCGTCAATTCTGGGCCCACTCTGGGTCGTTGAGCTGTGCCGCTTTTAGGTGAGCTATCAGTCAAGTAGCTGACATAAAACATTGCATACTAACCACAGCCTTTTTCACCCAAGGTAGGGACCCAATCTTCTGATAAGTAATACTAAATACAATAAGAAGAAGATAATAAGTTATCTACGATATCTAGCTTTGATGTTGTATCTATTACTGGATAGAATGCTTTGGTTTTGTGTCAAAATTGAACGCTGGAGGTTCCGGGTGTACCATTTATTATGTCAGTCGCTGTCCGTGCAAGATGCTCACAACGAACTGTTGCTATTGATAATACCAGGCACGAGCTAATAGGGAGTTGCAACCCTGCGCTCCCAGCTGCACACCTTGTGAATCAAGGTTTTGGTTCTCGGTTTTGATGTTGGAAAAGCAATCCTATTCAACACTGATTCTCTTGGTTGCAAAACAAGCCATGCCGTGGTAGGGGAAGGCCTTGAAGCGACAAAAAGGTAGCGACCTACAACCAGCAACGAAGCCTAAATCTTACTGGAGCAGCGGATGGATAGCGCGCAAGATGGTGAATATAGCCGCCTCAAGAGCAAGAAATCACAGTCAGAAGTAGTAAGCTAGAGCAAGGGCGGCGACTGGTTTTGTCCCAAAAGGGCCGGCTGCTTCTGCCCATGTTGACCGGGGAGGTACGAGCCAAGGCCGCGAGCATCCACACCTCTTCTTGAAGTGTTGAAGATGGTAATATCAGCATGTCTCGCGCTCAGCGCGGAACCCTGCAGCTAGAAAGTGGAAGATCTCAAGAAAACTGGGAGGTCGCGCCAAGGCAGAGCCAGCCTTGTTGGAAGAGGAAAGTTGCACAGACAGTGCGCAGATAGATGGCTGCCTGGATGCAGTTGGTGGGCAGACATGTTTCAGCAGTACCTGGGCTAGCTGAATAGGCGCATTCGATGAGTTTGACTTACCTGAATGGAAACCTGGTGTGGCGAGGAGGCTGAAAAGAGGGAATGAGTGGTGGGTTGTCTAAGGCTCAGCGAGTACATACGCGGCTACCACCTTTGTGGTGGCTATCAGCCATGAGCTGGGGTGGTGGTGATCAGAGCTGATCGTGGTTGGAGGGACCGACTTGGGCTTGCTGGTGATGGCAACCAGCCAGTCAGCGGCTGCATTTGACTTATCACAGCTAGGAGTTCGTGCAAGCGGGGGGGAGCTTGGGAGGCTGCCTTGCTCGGCTGCTTGTCTCTGGGGTGCTGTTGGTCAGGTGGGGGTGGATACTGTGTACATACTTCGCAGGTGGGTGGCATATTGATGGTTTGAGTTAGTTGAGGCAGGGAGCTGTGGCGCTGAGGCAGTCATGGCAAGAACAGGTGCCAAACACCGCCCGCTGATTGGCCACCCTGGCACCCTCTGAGAGGGCAGAGGAGGGGGGAAATTGGGTGGAAGCCTCAGGCAGCGACCGCCCCTCGCTCCGGCCACTGGGTCCCGCCAGCGCCCATCGACCGGCCAAGGGGGGCCCGCCTGCAGTATCGATAATAAATACGGAGAACTGACCCAGCGCCCAGCCGCCTCCTCGCTCACGTGTTTTATTCCCTCCCTCTACCGCGTGACCCAACCTATGACCCCAAAGCCGCCTGCTATCACGTATCTGGGTGATACGGCCATATATCTCAGGATCCCAGCTTTTGGAAATCGGCAAATATCGCGTTGAAGATCGCCTTCACCTAGCCTCCTCTTGCTGGCCCCCGACTCGCGCACCTTTTTTCTCGCTGTTCTGGGGCGTGGTTGCGATTCGCGCATCGGCGCAGTACTTAGACGACCAAGACCCAGCGATATCACGAGTTGATCACGCCAAACACGTGAGAGGAGCCAAAACTCGTGATCTGGAGCGAGAGAGCACATGATCTGCCAGGTATGTCGGTTCCATGTTTCCTCACACATCGTCGAGTCGCCCTGCGCCCTCACTTCGGCCGAGGCCTTGCATCCGCATGCTGCCCGATGGTCCCGACACAACACAAGAAATCACTGCGCTTCACTACACCACACTCCAACGCGCATCTGCATGCACCCATCCCCAATCTCATTTTCATAGTCATCATCATCATCATCATCATCATCATCACCAGTGCACTCGACCCAACCCCCCACCTGCTTCGATATTCGATGCCAAGTGAGCGGGGCCTGGGCTGTCGCGCTGCTTGCACCTGCCTGTGCACCGCCGATGGGTAGAGAGTTCTCTTGATCATCGTTGCGGCGATCTGTGATTGAAAAAAATGTCCTCATTTGGGTGAAGCTTTCAGGGCGGGTCTGCACTTCTTAAGTTGCATCGAGAAATCGGCACATGGCCCTACTTTCCATGGCCTTTGCTTCCCGCTGTATCTTCTGCAGCATGGCATCATCCCCTTCACCCGTGGATCTTAAGGCAGTCGTGCAGCAACAGATGGCCTGAACCACAAGTCTCCCTGTGATGCTCTGCTTCTTGCAAAGCATAACCGGCCAGGCCTTTGGTTGACTTGGATGGAATCCATGCCGGGGCCGGCTTGGCGCATTCAACGTGCTCGGCCTCTACATCCTGTCAGGCAGTATCGCAATCGAGCAAGTGTTCGTGCGAACATACCTTGTTCCACATGATCTGGTTTCTAGTGTAACATACTCAACCTTATCATGTTCCATGGGTGTAACCTCTTCAGCCTGCTCAACTAGGCTGTCGATTCCAACAACCTCCGCTATTCAGTTAGCTGCCTTCTACCTTTGCCCTCTTCTCCCCGCTCCAGCTTATTTGACCCTGCCCTTCGGCCTCGATCCGACATCAGACTCGTACCTCGTACTTCGTGAAATACAGTAGTCGTCTAACATATCCCTCTCTAGTCGAAACCACCAAAACATCTGATAATTTGAGACAGCATACCGACTCGACTTGGTAACAAGTCGACCGTGTGCCCCGATATCTTCGCATTCACTCTATCTGCAATCAGCCGTTCGCCCTTCTAGACGATGAGCGACATCATCACCGAACAGCAGCCGGACCTTTCACTCCTCCCTGGATCCCCAGGTCAGAAGCGGAAGCGAGACCCAGGCAGCCCCGGCTCTCAGCGATCAAAGCGCGTCGCTCCTCCCGCCAACATGTCTGTGGCTCCAGGTGATACGGCAGCCTACATCGAGAGCGCCATCCAGGCCACCGAAGCCCATGCCGCCAATGGGGGCATGAATGTGGCCGATTTCAACGCCCTTCAGCAGGCTACCCAGGAGGGAAACGAAGTCTCAGATCCTGCCTCAGCTACGAGCACAGCGCAGGCAGCGCTTGGCATGTACCCGACACTCCACGTCCCTCCCTCAACAGAGGAGCAGTTCGCTGCCCAAACCACGGGCGATACCGGCGAGCATCATCATCACGATGCATCCGCATTCAATCCTCCCGATGTTCCCCAGCCAGATGGTCTGATGGATGATCATACTGTCCATCAGCCCCATCAGCCTCACCAGCCAGCACAGAATGGGGTACAGCCTCCACCTGCGCCACGCTACGCGACCTCGCCAGCAACGTCAAATCCAAAGCCGACGGTCGGATCAGAAGAGTGGCATAAGATGCGCAAAGATAACCACAAAGAAGGTAAGCAGCTGCCTAGTACCGGTCAATTATCGCTTCGTAGGTTTTGCTAACCGGTCAAACAGTCGAGCGTCGACGGAGGGAGACCATCAATGAAGGTATTAATGAACTGGCCAAGATCGTCCCAGGGTGCGAGAAGAACAAAGGTTCAATCCTCCAACGAGCTGTGAACTTCATCCAACTGCTCAAGGAAAACGAGCAGCAGAATCTTGAAAAGTGGACACTCGAGAAGCTGCTTACGGAGCAAGCCATCACCGAGTTAAGTACTTCGAACGACAAGTTGAAGCAGGAATGCGAACGACTATATCGCGAGCTCGAGATTTGGAAACGGGTGGCACAAAACGCGGGACTGGAGCCTCCGCAACCTAAGGAGGAGATAGGTGAAGCCGCAGCGCCAAGTTAGAGCCTTGCTACGCCCATTTCCCCCTTTGACATAACCGCCGCACTGTAATCCAACCTGGGAGCTTATGCTTCTATCACCAAACCGATAGCCGAATGCTCCCTCGGCCCCCTCTATCGGTCCAGCTGTTGACAATCTCAACCCCTCTCCCCTTTGTTTTTCCTGTCTGGGGGGTTTCTACTTTCTTTTTCCATCTATCTTCCCATTGGAACTTGCATTCTCATTTTCCCACGCCACACGGGGGGCAATTTATGCACCGGCACTAATGGCTACACCAGCATCGTTTATATCAACTCACTGTTTTTTCGTTCTATTGGCGGCGCCGCGCTCAGCCCCCCCCCTCGCTTGTTCACTCGATTAAGGAGAGGGGGCGGCGGGGTGTCGGGCCGCTTGTCTGAGGTGGCTTGCATTTATTTGTTCAATGTTCAAAGTAGCTTGGCGTTGGTGGGACAGATTTGTATTGGTTGAAGGTATTGATCATGTGGCGGTGGGAAAGTGTCAGTATCCGACGGAGTTGATGTTCCCGTCGTCGGCCCCTCAGTAGTTCCCGAGGCCCTAAACTTTCCTAGTTAATCTCATCACATCGAGGTACTCTTGCGCGTCATGCTCGATCCTACGGGCCCATTTCGCTTTCCCTTGCGTGGATCTACTGTATGTCCCATCCATCTGCATGTGTGACCCGCGCCGGCCGGAAGACCTCCGCGAGAGCAGCCAGCGGTCCCAGTTCCGTCGAGTTGCAGCTGGTACTCGTGGAGGAAACTAGCCAGCCGCATGCGAGAACAAGCTATCCTATGCATCTCCTCAGACCAAGCGTCGCTAACTGCCGCACACCCTCTTCGCCTCCGAAGCCCCGGCAGCGACACTTCTTCCAAGGGGGTGGTGGGTGTGTTGCAATCGCTTCTCATAACCAAACAGGGAAAAGTAGAGAATTGTGAGGAGCAAGGCCAAGGAAGAAGAAAAAGAAAAATGTAACACAATGAGATAAACGAAAGGAGGGTGGCCACGCGCCGCATGGCCATTCGCTACCCGCATCCACCGGGCCCGTGGTGTCGATATATCAAAGAAAAAAAATAAAAAATAAAAATAAAGGGTTCCATCCGAAAAATCGTGGACTTTGCTCCGATTGGGCAGGGGGGAACCCTCTGCGTATTTGCCAAGGCTGGCTCTTATTGGGGATTTCCGTTTTCTTTTCTTTTTTTCTTTTCTCCCTCTCCATGCAATGTATTCCACTTCCGGGCTCATGTTGCTTTTTCCAGTATAGTTTTTTAGGTTTCTTCCTGCATGGGAGCTCAGCCGATAGCCGTTGGGTGGCTTTGGCCCCCCCTTCCCACCCTCGGCTACGGGATCAGCGAGGACACGCGGAAAAGGGTTCTGAGACATACATATGTGCGGCGGCATTAGTGCCGTCCCCTTGGGCAGCACGAGGTTGTCTAGTCGCGTCACCGTACATGAACCTCGCGTACGGGCTCTCTCTTGCCTGGGAAGGGTTAATGTACATATGCAGGCTGGGCGAGCGGGAGGACTTCCCCGGCCACTGGCTGGCCGGGAGCGTTGCCTGGGGAGGCAGGAGGAGTGAAGCTAGAGGGGAGGGGGGGAGTACATATGCGGGGGGTGGTAATGTATCTGCATGCTCTTATGCATGTTTACATACATGTAGGTGTGATCCTCTCGTTCGCTCCACTGTGTGACGGCCGACTGCATGAGTCGTGGCCCGGCAGGCACATACGCGGAGTGGTAATCTAGCGGAGACAGTTGGCGAAGTGAAGGGTATGGGGATGGAAGCGATACATGTGCGCATCAACACATGGAGCACGTAGAATGTGATAGCGCAAGCGGGTATGCCCCCTAAAAGTGACCTGTTCTTCTTCCCTACCTCTCCGCAAAACTTAATTATGGATGACCGAGCAAATGATGTAACTGGGCAAGATGAGAAGCAGCTGAGCTGGTAAAAGAGAATGGGTTTCCATTTGAGCTCATGTTTCTAGTTCAGTATGGATAGACCAAGAGAACGAAGATGGTGATGAGAAGAAGAAAAGTTCCGTGAGAGTTACGTGTAATACATCCCATCTGCAGATTTCCGCCACCAACCGACCTTATACATACTTTGTGGGTTCTTTCCAATACGTAGTCATGAGGCTTGAAGGGCTCCATTTTTCTAAAGAGTAAGCGCGAGCAATTATGTAGACCCCAGAACGCAAGAAATGAAAATAGGCAATACCAAAGAAACACATAAACCAGGGCAAACAGGCAGCAAATATCGTCCCGTTTCAATGCCGAGCAGACAGGCAGATACTCCAGAGATGGTGGCTTCAAGTAACCGTAGTTGATAGTAGATGCCGAAAGCTTTGTATCGAAATGTCCCACGTTCGGGGGACGAAGCAGCCGCGACTTTCAAGAATGAGCGTCCGCATGCAAGGCACGATCATTAAAACACTTGTAGTTCATAATCTCATTTCGTCCAATCGTGAGAGTTCCATCCAAGATAGAATGGATAAATCAGGCAGATTTGCAGTGTTTGTTGCGAACAAAAATGGCCAAAGGACGCAAATATATGAGGCACAGAGCCAAAACCAAGCTCCTTCGCCAGGCGTAAAAACGTGCAAGGAAGCTTTATAATTCCAAACCACCAACCGCGGGGTTTAACGTAAAGATTTTTGAAGCTGAAATAGGTCGGTCAGAGAATAGAAAAGTATTGTGTGGTTCCGCATAGTCCGTAAAACAGAAAAAAAGACGAGGGAAAATCAAAGAGCCACTCATATTTCAATCACCAACGAGCACCATTTTCGATTCGAAAGCAAACATTTGATGGAATAGACCCGAGCCGCAGTCTAAAGCCAATCAGATGAGGTATCAACCATGATAATTGAGTATGCCTTTCCATTATATGTTGATGAATAGTTTCAGAAGAATTGGTCGAGGTTGAAAAGGCACTAGGGCTTTTGAGAGAAGGGGACGTAGGTCGCTTTGCAGCGCAATTAGGCCTCCCGCCACAACATTTATGTTATCTGCTCTTTGTGGTGGAAGGGTGTATGACAACGGGAGCTCAAATTATTTCGTCTTTGAAGTGGCCTCGTGGCACCGAGTCTATTACCTCTGAAACACCTGGAAGTACTTGAAGCCCTCGACTATCATTGGGCATGTAGTTGTATGTCTGTTGCTGCCCAATCTGCCCTGAAGGCACGTCCCCAGATCGGTACACCTGACTGTGGGTTGGATCATATCCTGGTTGTGTCATCGTATCGACGAAGGATCCCCTCATGTAGGATGGGGGAGGCGTGGAAGGAACTGCAGTGACGAATGATGCTGACGAGCCGTTCTGTTTGTGGGAATAAACAGCTTGGGGATTGGATGCTGTACTTCCAGTTTGCCATTGCTGTGGATACATGCCATTGCCGACGTGATTGTACTCCCCGAAAACTGAGGATCGACGACTCGAGTCATTGGTGGTGCTATTGGGTATCATGTCGACGTTAATAGGCGTGTTCGAATGATGGGCAGGTGTCGTTCCATGGACCGGTAGGCCTTCCTCAACGAAGCCGTGGTGTGAGCTGGTCAAATCATTCACCATTGATGGAGGCGGTGGTGGATTCTGGGTACTACGCATAGGCATCTCGTTAACAAACGAGCTTGTCTGAGATGCTGTAGTAGGGCTGTGGCCAGCAGGAGAAGTTGGATGAAAGCCTTGGGCAGTCGACCGAGTTGAAGGTGATGTATTCTGTTCCTCGTGGTCACGGCTCGCTGGGCCTTCCTCCTGTTCTGGTGTCTGGGTCTCTGAAACTCTGTCGTCGTTCAGGACGTAGACCTCGGTAGCAGCGTCTATTTTTCTTATTAGAACCACCATGGAAAGGGAGGCCAGGTAGGTTACTATACCGATTTCTCCATTCTTATACCTCTCCTGCTGCTTTGCCACCTTGAAAATCTCACTAAGAAATCGCTTTTTACCAGAATTTTGGGGGTTCTCGCTAAAGAAGCCAGAGAGAGCCTCATTAGTACACTCTTCTAGCTTCTTGACATTGAGATGAAGTTTCCGGACGTCAGGGTGCTGCTTCGCGGTCGGCTCCACTATGATAGCGAGGATGTGATTGAGAAGATGAACTCGTTCTGATAGGATGTCAGCTCTTAGTGGTTGCGATGAGAGTTTCAAGTTCTTCCTACCTCTTTTGTAAAGATGGTCGGGTTCTTTGTGCCTGACCCTGTCTTCCTTGGTATCCCCCCAAGGCTTCGGCCACCAGTCAGGAGCCTTTGCATCACTACCGGTGTATGGATGGGTAGATTGCTTCTTGGGCTCGACAGCTTTGACCCAAGCTTTTGCAATCAGCTTGCAGGCAGACTGTTGGCAGCTCTTGAAACGCTGGTCGTAAAATCCCCACAGGGCTCTCGAGTCACAGACTCGGATTCCCCTCCTGGACATGATAGGCATGGGCATTTCCTCGTACTCCATGGTCTGGCGTGATCTTGGGCGCTTCCGACCCGGTCGTCCTGGATAGCTACCCCCGTCTTCGCCGTCATCATCATTCTGCGAACGGGTTCGATCACGTGTGTGGTGCCTATGATTATAAGGTGGTCTGAAATACATGGACCCTTCAGAGCTAGGGGGGTGACTCGTTGCTTGATCTAACACCGTAGATATTAGCAAATGCTGGGGAGTAGCGACAAGGGCTAATAGAACATGATTATTTACCTGTATCGAGAGAGGATACCACTTGTTGAAACTTCTTGATATCAAAAAACTGGCGTACAACGCTGTCCTGCAGCTTCTGCCCTGGGCTAAAGAATGTGGCTGGCGTTCCATCGTCCATGACTACCGCCACGAAGTACTGCTTAGCCCAGATACCGCAGTGGGAGCGAAGCGCAGTGTCGATGGCCTATTGTCATAATCAGAAGAGAGCAGCGAGTCATGTTATTTCAATGCATACCATGGGTGGTTGGTGTCGAACAGATTCTTGGGACTCGTAGAAGCGCCTATGGTCCATGATATCATTTTGATATCGAGCCGGAGGTTG